CACACACACACGAACACACACACACACACACACACACACACACACATACACACTCGTATACAAGCGGAAAGGCAAGCTCGCACACGCGCAGTAATAGATAGTTAAAACATGACATAGGTCGGCAGTCTTTCAAAGTGCTTATTTTTACACCATGAAATACATTAATTAGTCACTTTTAAGGACAAGTGGGCTAACCCAGATTTCGGGATTTTCAGAAATCTTAACCTACACCAAAAGTGGGCATTACCCTATCTATAGGGCGTGTGGATTATATTTGGCCGACCATGGAATTGATTTAGTGCTTAAGACATGCATACTTCTCTTACGAAATATTCTCCAAGATATGCAAATATGAGAAGACCCTGCTGAGGAAGGACAAGGAATGGATGAAATCCATTTTTGAACCCCCCCCCCCTCCCCCATTCTGGAATCAAATAATCAAGGGAGTTCTGTCAATGATGTGGTCGTTCTGTAAATGTGTGTGGTGGGCGGGTGCTCTGGTGTGGTTTGCTTCTTCTTTCCTTATCTCCCCTTCTTCTTTTTATGTTTGTTACTCTGTTGTAGCACCTCTAATCTTTTGGCGCTCATATTATGACCTTATGCAGTTGCGAGCGCCGCAAAACCTCTACTAAAAATAAATACGAAAAAGACACGTTTCAAAAGTAACATACTTTGAGATCCAGATGCGAAGGTCGGAAGTCGAGTTTGATTCTGACGTCCTCATATTTTGGTCACTTCCACTATTCAGCGTAGGGTCGTCTTCAACGAGCACAAAATCACTGAAACTTTTAGTACCAAGCGAAACGAACACTTTAACTTTTTTTTTAAATTCAAGGGTGTATGGATATTTGTAGACTTCAAGTGAGCTGCCCGTGACCAAGTCTTGGAGATTGCTGTACCTGCTTTGTTTGTTGGTACTAACGTCTTGAATTGTTTCAGCAACAGTGGATGGAGTATTGTGTCTGTGCATTGCTGAGGTATTGCTCCTGCTGCCTTGGTTCGAACTAACAATATCACGGGCGTTGTGTCTAGTGGCTTCAGACGTGTCACCTCTGTTGTTCGATGCAGTATCACGAAAGCCACGTCTGTATTCTGTGGTAGCATCACGCATGCCACGTCTGTTGTCTCTCGTGGCATCACGCATGTCACGTCTATTATGTTTTGTAATACCATGCATATCACGTCTATAGTCTCTTGCAGAATCACGCACGTCACGTGTTTTGATTGTAGTATCACTGACACCATGAACAAAATGTCTATTGTCCCTTGCAATTTCATGCGTGCCACGTGCATTGTCTCTTGCAGTATCATGCATGTCACGTCTGTTCTCTCTTGTAGTATCACGCATGCTACGTCTGTTGTCTCTAGTAGTATCACGCATGTTACGTCTGCTGTATCTTTCAGAGTCAAGAACATCACGATTGTTGTCTCTTGCAGTAACACAAATATCACGTCTGCCATCTGAAGCACCATCACACACATTGCGTCTGTTGTCTCTTGCATCATCACGCATGGCACGTCTGCTGTCTCCTGTAGCGTCACTTATGTCACGTCTGCTGTCTGTCATAGCATCACGCGTGTCACGCCTGTTGTCTCTTGTAGTATCGTGCATGTCACGTCTCTTGTCTGCCGTAAAATCATGCATGTCACGCCTGTTGTCTCTTGCAGTTTCACTCTTGTCACGTCTGTTGTTTGTCATTGCATCATGCATGTCACGCCTGTTGTCTCTTGTAGTATCGTACATGTCATGTCTGTTGTCTGTCGTAAATTCTTGCATGTCACGTCTGTTGTCTCTTGTAGTATCACTTGTATCAAGCATGTCACGTCTGTTAACTATTGTAGTATCACGCATATCACGTCTGTTAACTATTGCAGCATCCCGCGTGTCACCACGTGTGCTTTCTTCTGTAGCGTCACGAATGTCGCGTCTGTTGTCTGCATCAAACATGCTATGCCTGTTGTCTGTTGTAGAATCGTTAGTATCAAACATTCCACGCCTGTTTCCTCTCGTACCATCACGAGTGTCACGTCTGTTGTCTCTTGAAGGATAATGCATGTCACGTTGGTCGTCTGTCGTAGTGTCATCTATGACACGTCTGTTGTATGTAATTGAATCACGCACGTCTCGTCTGTTGTCTCGTGTAGCATCACTCAAGTCATCACGTCTATTGTCTCGTGTAGCACCACGCAAGTCATCACGTCTATTGTCTCGTGTAGCACCATGCAAGTCATCACGTCTATTGTCTCGTGTAGCACCACGCAAGTCATCACGTCTATTGTCTCGTGTAGCACCACGCAAGTCATCACGTCTATTGTCTCTTGTAGCATCACGCAAGTCATCACGTCTATTGTCTCTTGTAGTATCACGCAAGTCATCACGTCTATTGTTTCGTTCAATATCACGCAAGTCATCACGTCTATTGTTTTGTTCAGTATCACGCACGTCACGCCTCTTGTCTCTTACGGTTTCATCTACGTCACGTCTCTTGTCCCTCGTATCATCACGCATGTCACGTCTAGTGTCTCTGTTTTCATCTCGCACGTCACGCCTGTTGTCTCGTATGGTATCACGTGTGTCACGGCCGTAAAGTCTGGTAGAATCAGACTCCTCACGTCTCTCGTCGCGGGTTAACAAAAACATTCCGTGTCTGAGGTTTCTCGTCATGCCAGACATGTCTCGTTTTCCCTGTCTAATATCATCCGACATGTCACGTCTGTTATCCCTCGTCCCCTTAAACATGTCACGTGTGTCGTCCCTCCTTCCTTCAAACCTGTCACGTTTGTTGTCCCTCCTCCCCTCAAACATGTCACGTCTGTTATCCCTCGTCCCCTCAAACATGTCACGAGTGTTGCCCCTCAACCCCTCAAACATGTCACGTCTCATTACAGAAGAAGCTTGCAACGAGTCACGCTGGCTGTCTCGGCGTCTTACTGACGCCCCAAGTCTGTTAACTATTGTCAGTTTAAACGCTTTCCGCAAGTTGCCTCTGTTTACCTCGCTAACATCAAGCCTGCTGTCCCTATTTATCTCGTTCGTATCAAGCCTGTTGTCTTTGTTTATTTCGTTTATGTCACGCCTGTTTTCCCTGATTTTATCGTTGCCACGTCTGGTGTCTCTGTTTACTTCGTTCAGTTGGCACTTGTTGTTTCTAATCTCGTCCATATCACACCTGTTGTCTCTGATCTTGTTCATGTCACGACTGTTTTCTCTGATCTCGTTTATGTCCCGTTTCTTGTCTCTTTTCATTTCGTTTATATCACGCCTGTTTTCTCTGTTTATTTCCTTTTCTAAACGTCTGTTGTTTCGTTTCTCGTTCTTGTCAATCCTGCTGGCTCTGTTTATCTCGTTCAATTCACGCCTATTGTCCCTGTTAACCTCGATCATGTCACGCCTGTTGTCTCTATTCATCTCATTTGTGTCACGCCTATTGCCTCCGTTTACCTCTTTCATATCACGCACCTTGTCTCTGTTCTCGATCACGTCACGTCTGCTGTCTCTAGTGACCTTGATCTTTTCACGCCTATTGTCTCTGTTGACTTCGTTCATACCATGCCAGCTGTCTCTGCTGTCCACCATCATGTCACGTCTGTTGTCTCTGATCTCATCTCTGTTTACCATGTTCACTTCATGTCTGTTGACTCTAACCTCGTTGGTGTCACGCCTGTTGTCTCTGTTAACCTCGTTCATGTGACGCCTGTTGTCTCTGATCTCGCTCCGGTCACGCCTGTAGTTTCTGAGCTCGTCCATGTCACGCCTGTTGTCTCTGTTAATCTCGTTCATGTCACGTCTGTTGTCTCTGATCTCATCTCTGCTTACCCTGTTCACTTTATGTCTGTCGTCTCTGATCTCGTTCAAGTCACGACTGTTTTCTCTGCTTATCTCATTCAGGTCATGCCTGTTGTCCCTGTTACCGATCATCACACGCATGTTGTCTCGGATTTCGTCTCTATTTACTTTGTTCACTTCACGTCTGTTGCTTTTGATCTCGTCCATATCACGACTGTTGTCTCTGCTGATCTCATTCATGTCACGCCTGTTGTCTCTGCTTATCTCGTCCAAGTCCCGCCTGTTGCGCATGATCTCTTTCATTTCAAATCTGTTGTCTCTGTTCCTGGTCATGTCACGTCTGCTGTCTCTGATCTCATCTCTGCTTATCCTGTTCACTTCATGTCTGTCATCTCTGATCTCGTTCAAGTCACGACTGTCGTCTCTGTTAACCTTGTTCATGTCACGCCTGTTGTCTCTGATCTCGCTCAGGTCACGCCTGTAGTTTCTGAGCTCGTCCATGTCACGCCTGTTGTCTCTGTTAACCTTGTTCATCTCATGAGTGTCGTCTCTGATTTCGTCTCTGTTCACCTTGTTCACTTCATGTCTGCTGTCTCTGATCTCGTTCAAGTCATGACCCTCGTCTCTGCTTATCTCCTTCATGTCACGTCTGTTGCTCCTGATCTCGTTCTTATCAAGCCTGTTGTCTCTGCTCGCGATCATGTCACGTCTGTTGTCTCTGATCTCATCTCTGCTTACCCTATTCACTTCATGTCTGTTGACTCTAAGGTCGTTTGGGTCACGCCTGTTGTCTCTGTTAACCTCCTTTATCTCACGCATGTTGTCTCTGATTTCGTCTCTGTTTACCTCGCTCACTTCACGTCTGTAGTTTCTGATCTCGTCCATGTCACGCCTGTTGTCTGTGTTTATCCCATTCATGTCACGCCTGTTGTCTCTCTTCCCGATCATGTCACGTCTGCTGTCTCTGCTGGGCACCATCACTTCACGTCTGTTGTCTCTGATCTCATCTCTGCTTACCCTGTTCACTTCATGTCTGTCATCTCTGATCTCGTTTGTGTCATGCCTGTCATCTCTGCTTACCTCATTCACGTGACGCCTGTTGTCTCTAATCTCGCTCAGGTCACACCTGTAGTTTCTGAGCTCTTTCATGTCACGCCTGTTGTCTCTGTAGATTTCATCCATGTCCCGCCTGTTGTCTCTAATCTCGTCTCTGTTTAGCTTGTTCACTTCATGTCTGTTGTCTCTTCTTATCTCATCCATATCACGCCTGCTGTCTCTGTTGGTCTCGATCGTGTCACGTCTGCTGTATCTGGTCTCATCCCCGTTGAACTTTTTCACTTTACGTCTGTTGTCTCTGATCTCGTTCATGTCACGCCTGTTGTTTTTGATCTCGTCCACGTCACGGCTGTCGGCTCTGTTTATCTCATTCATGTCAAGCCTGTTATCCCTGTTTATCGCGTCCATCGTGCGTCTGTTGTTAACCAGATCACGTCTGTTATCCCTACTGGTGTCAAACAAACTATGCCTATTATTTCTACTCTCAACTGAATCATGTCTATTGTCCCTAGTCTCAACTGAATCATTTGTGCTATCCGAAGTCCCAACTAAATCACGTCTGCTGTCTCGGGAGGTATCAACCGAATCACGTCTGTTATTTTTATTTTCAACAAAATCATGTCTGTTGTTCCTGGTGTCAATCAAATAGCGTCTATTTTCCCGAGTGGTGTCAATCGAATCATGCTGGTCAGTCTTATATTCTATTGTATCGCGCTTGTTATTCCTATACTCAACCGAATCACGTCTATTTTCTCTACTTTCAAAAGAATCACGTTTGTTATCTCTAGTCCCAACATGGTTATGTCTATTTTCCCTAAATGCGTCGACCGAATCACTTCTGCTATCCCTAGATCTGTCAGTCAAATCAGATCTGTAATTCCAAGATGTGTAGCTTTTCCCTGTGTCTTGTGAAACGCCTTTTCTAAATTCATCTGCGATTGACCTACGAGTGGTTTCTTGTTCAAACTTTAGGCTAAGATCTCTTGAGTAGCTATGGCGGACGTCCAGTATGGGTGAGAGAAATGTTTGTGATGACGTCAGCGTTTCCACTGATCTTGCCGACGTCAGCGGGTTCTCTCCAATAGACGTCGCAGCCTTAACCTGTCAAGACGTATTCATATAATAATAAGTAATAATAAATAGCATTAAAATTTGTATAGTGCATACCCCAGCTCAACAGCAAGCTCTATGTGCTTTACACTGTATTATTATTATCACCCCAGCAGACCATAGAACACTCGGAAACATTCTTAGCTTACCGTGAAGCATTATGAACCATATTCGTATTTCTTATTGTAAATTAAAGTCTTTTTATACCCCCCCCCCCAACCTATACAACCTTTGGACCGTGCTTCTCAGATATTCTTACTCTTAGTCTTAGTCACCCAATTTGAAAAGTGATCAATTTGTAGTCTGATGGTTGGATGGCGGACTCTAAACTGTACAGTAGCGGGTTCAAACCCTATTCTGTGCACAACGTTGTGTCGTTGTTGAAGATACTTTACACAAATATTCCTCTCTTCACCCTGGTGAAAACGGGTATCCAACTGAGGCAGGAAAAGATCAGCAGTAGCTTGTGTTAATATTTGAGAGTCCGTAAAATTGAAGCTTGTTCTGAAAACTATCTAACAAGCTAAAAAAGGGTTGGAATGTTGAAGAGTTAGCCTGGGCAATAATAAATAGTGAACTGCACGGAGCCTACTAACGAACGAAGGCATCGAGGTGAAATCAGGCGTTCGTCAGAATAATGAAACCAAAGAAATCGGCATTTTCCCGTAGTTTTGGCAATTTTGATGGAATTTTTGTTTTTCGTTCAACACTCGTTTTGGTATTTGTATAATCTATTAAGTTAAATAGGAATGGAAGTTGAAGGGGAATTTGTGTTGTCCGAACATTGTAGGACAAAACTGGTTTCGTACAAATTTGGAATAGCCTTGTGTATTCTAATAGTTTACCCACAATATATCATTTTTAGAAAGTGACAAATCGACGGTAAAAATATCTACATGTATTTCATATTATACTGAGTCAAAGAACTTTGACTATAAATCTTCATGAAAAGTTAGTAGTAATCCAAACCCGCTGACCACCGTGTTTCTGCGTTATGAAACCACAATGATAATATGGGACTTTTGCTCCTCTTGCATAATTACTCTGCTGGAATAAGGCGGTTTTATCATCATAGCAATACTATGCTCATTATAAAAGCTATGTTATATTATTCTGTTTTTTTTAAACCACAGACTTAAATTCTAATACCCAAGACTGTCACCTTTGATGTAATAATTTAGATTCACTATGGAGCGCACCATTTTGCTCAATATAAAAACTAAAGGAGGGACAAGGAGGGAAAGGCTGCGAACGCGCTCGACTATAACGAGATTGGAGCATTCCCTTCATTTGGGTGTCTATGGTGTCTCTGAAGTTTGTTTTTTTTAGAGAGCAGATATCTGCCGCCATGACAGTGCACGGTCTAAGATATCATAATTCAAGTCTGATTACGTTGCATCGTGGAAAATCGGGCGCTTGTCAAATTGATGCAGTGATGCAGTCGAAGAAACCAGCATAATATTCCCGACCGTTGGCCAATTTTTAAAATATTGTTTTTGGCTGAACACACTTTATGACTATTTGGAAACACAATCATTTCTGTATTTCTGTATGGGATTTACTGAAAAGTGCTGACCAAAATCACAAAAGAATAAATTTGCATTTTCCAAGGACGCTCAAGTTTTGCAAGTAACAAAACTTTGGCGACCATTTTCTCGTTAATGTTATGTCAGACACCAGGCAACCCTCACCTCCTTCAACTGCAAATATCTCGAGTTCTATTCAAGATCAATGGGTTGGGCCTATATTTTTTCAACAAAAGTAAGACAGATAAACACGCTTTAAGAACAATATACAATAACTGCCTATGCACAAAGATTGACGAGCGCCTGATTCAAGCAGGCTGCCACATGACCTATGGCTCTGACTCACGGCTAGGGCAGCTCTGTGCTGTGCTGTGACGCGAGGCACGTGCTGGGAGGTGGCCAGGGCGTGGTGTGAGCGCGCGCCATGCATGAGGACCAGGAAGGAGGACACGAGGAGAAAGAAGGAGGTTGTCTTCCTCATGGCTGTGGAGGTAGAGGTGGAGATGGGTACAGGTTTTGTTCTCAGTTAACATGTTTAAAGGCGGGTGTCGTTGTCAAATGACTTTACAGAAGTATTTAAAAAGAGATGATGAAAAACGACCCCCCCCCCCACCACCAAGCCTCACCCCCAAGCCTCCCCCCAAGAGAGTGACATTGTCAATGTTGTCAAACGACTCCGCTAAAACGTTATTTAATTAATTTTTAGAGAGAAGAAAACGTGGACATTAATTACACTGTTCAGTTGACCAAGGTGTATACAAATCACACAGAGTTAGATAAACCACCTTGTTTCCCCTATTGGTTTTTTTTATAGTAAAGGGTTTTACGGCGCTCTCAACTGCATAAGGTCATATGAGCGCCAAGGGGTGGGTGTCAACAGAGATGTCTTTACAGGGAATCAGACTTAGACTGCTCACCTCTCTAGCTTCAACAGCACAAGGTCTGCTTCGACTATCAAGGCACCCCAAAATAGCAGGTCACAAGAGAGTGACAAACATACAAAAAAAGTAGAGGAAAATGACAATAGTAAGGATCGGGAAAGAAAAAGCAGCAGTTCCCTGTTGTAGATCAGGAACAGTTATGAGCGTGACATGAGTCAGCCCATTTACCATTCTACTACGCTTGAACGAGAAATGTTCCCCCTTTGGGAATGGCCTAAAGACACTTCAGTCAGAGGCACTGCCCCAGTGGGTCCTTATTGTTTTTAGTATATAATACAGGCTTAATGCACACTTCCAACACACTTAGGTTATCTAAGAGGTGAGACCCTCAGCTCGAAATGAATGCGCTCATCCAATAGGATGGGGTAAAATAGTTAGAGAGTCTTGAAAATCCCAGAGACTATTCTACTCGTAGTTGAGGAACGCACTGCTGCTATGTGACTACAGCCGTTTCTGAAAATAAAATGGTAGAGCTATGCATGAATCGATATATACAAGCAAACTAATAGATTAAAACAGACAGCAGTAATAGGGCTCTCGTGGTTTAGAGTTTACGGTGTTCGCCTCTCATCCAATAGGTCCCGGGTTCGAAACCTGAAAGCTTCTCTTCTTCTTCTATCCCGTGGTTGGGGCAATTGGAAAACCAGCTCTCGCCATCTATTTTTGTCCTCTGCTCTCCTCAGATTGTCGCCCATTGTCTTTCCTGTCCACTCTGTAATTTTGTCCTCCCATCTCCTTCTCTGCCTTCTTCTCTTTCTCTTTCATTGTACGGTTCCTTGTAGGATTGTTTTGGCAAGTCCTTTGGATCTTGTGACATGCCCATACCATTTTAGTTTTCGTCTCTTCACTGTGGTCAGTAGATCTTCATATTGCCCCACTGCGTTGGTGATTCTCTTTCGTACTTCAGCATTTGAAACGTGGTCTTTGTACGAGATGTCAAGGAGTCTGCGGTAACATCTCATCTCTGTGGTCTGAATCTTTTTCTCTAATTCTGCTGTTAGTGTCCACGACTCGCAGGCGTATAAAAATATTGAGATGACCAGTGAGCGCATTAGTCTAATTTTTTAGCTGTGCGTGATGTTTCTTTACCCCCAAATAGGCTACAGCTTTGACAGCGCAGCTGTTGTTTGCGCGATTCTGGAGAGAATTTCTGACCTTGAGCCTTCATCTGAGACGATAGATCCGACGTATTTGAATCTGTTGACGGTCTCAAGTTTCTCGCCCCTGACTTTGATGTCCGCTTTGATGCCATTGGTGTTATTGGTCATTAGCTTGGTTTTCTCGGCACTGATCTCCATGCCGTAGGCTGCTGAGGTTGTGTCCAGCCGCTCCACTAGTGTGGCGAGCTCCTGTTCTTTTCCTGCTAATCCATCGATATCATCGGCAAAACGCAAGTTAGTGATTGTCCTGCCTCCAATACTGATTGTTCCATTGTGGTCTTCCAGAGTGTCAGTCATGATTCGTTTTAGGAAGATGTTGAAGAGAGTGGGAGAGAGCAAACACCCTTGCCTCACCCCAACCGTTGTCCTGAACCAATCCCCCATGCCGCTGTTAAGGTAGACTGCGCTGGAGGCCTTGTCGTATAGTTGTTGTATGACGTTGATCAGGTTGGCGTTGATGTTATATTTCCTCGTGGTTGCCCATAAGGCTACATGCCAGACCCTGTCGAAGGCCTTTTTAAAATCCACAAAGATATGGTATAGGTTTTGTTGGTGGTGGAGGTACCTCTCGCACAGTATTCTGAGGTTGAAGATCTGTTGTGTTGCGCCCTGCTCTAAAGCCTGCCTTCTCTTCGGCAATGATCTTCTCTGCCGGTGGTTTCAATCTGTTCAGCATTATCTTTAACATAACCTTATTGGGGTGGCTTATTAGACTGATGGTGCGATAAATCTGACATAGTTTCAGGTTACCTTTCTTGGGGAGTGTAATCACTAGTGACTGTGTCCATGGTGTTGGCCACTCTCCTGTCTGCCAGATCTTGTTGCAGATGACAGTCAGAGCGTTTATCATGTCCTTTCCCCCTGCCTGTATCAATCTCCTGGGATGTTGTCCACTCCTGCTGATTTCCCCTTCTTCAGTGCTTTAACTGCTGCTTCAACTTCTTCTCGAAGGATTGGGTGTTTATCGATGTTGGTTGCTGGGGGAACGTTTAGAATCTCGGGGTTTCCCGTGGCTTTGTAGTTGTACAATTCAGAGCAGTATTCTGTCCATCTTTTCAAAATGTCTTGTTCCTCTGTTTTCATGTGGTGAGTCTTGGGCAGAGAAGCTTGGCGGTGCCCATCCCTCTCCAAGCTCTTAACCGTAGGCCGATGTCCACGAACATGATGTGGGTAGCTCCCGATGGCATACACTTGACCGTTGAGCTCAGCTTAGAACCCTTCCGCTCTGACCGTTGGGTCCGTCATGGGACCTGACAGCAACGGAACATAATTTTGTCTTTAAAATATTCTCCTTCCACCTCCTTTCCCAGTTCTCTAACAATGTTCTATCGTCCGCTTTCATTTTCAATTTTTAATTCCTACCTAACTGAAAATGTTTAATGTGTCCAGTGCCGTCATAGATCTATTACTGCAGAGAGGCTTGATTTAATATGACCTTATGCAGTTGCGAGCGCCATAAAAAAAAGATAGCTTCAAAAGATGAAAACTGACTTTTGATGTATTCCCCCAGTACTCTTTCTACGGTACAAAAAAGTAAGTAGCGTGAACAAACACGACAAACTATGATTTAACTCACTTTCTTTCTCCAGCACTCCAAACACTGTGGAAGAGAGAAAAAAAAGAAAAAAAAAAAAGAGTAGAATGCCGTATTCGAAAGTACTGTCCTCTACTGGTGTATATCAATCCTACGTCAGAACACGAGTAGTTTAAGTTAAATAATAATAAGGCTTTCAAAAAACTGTTTAGAGACCGGCAGGGACGGGCTGAGACTTTGGAGGAAATAGTTCGTTCGAGTTCGGCGTATTTATACATATTCCAGGGCCGAGCCAAGTTGTCAATGGAGGCGTTTGTTGGACAGGCGACGGATTCCCCATCTGTCACACGTCATTGAACAGGCTTGACTGGCCCCCCACGCACGGGACGGGAACTTCTGAATAGCATTTTTCCCCGCCAATCTTGTCTGATGAATGAAATCAGTGGAACTTAATTACAACTGGAATGGGTATCGATACCACTGTAAACAGATTCCGATTACTACGTTTTTGGATTGGTTATGCTCAAAAACTGTATACTTCAAAATGGTACACTGCTTCGTTTGAGAGAAAAGAAACCCAAAGCAAAAAAGAAACAACAACAATAAAACAACATCAATGACGACGACGACGGCGACGATGACGACGACAACGACGACAACGACAACAATAAGAAAAGGAGCAGCAACAATAATAACAATAAGAACAACAGCAGCAGCAGCAGCAAGAACAACAACGTCCTAAAAATGGTTCTGATGAGTTCTATATTAAACCATTTTTATCCTATTTAAAAAAAATTATAACATATCTTGTATACAAAGAGTAGGAACAGAGATTCTTCCAACAGGGGTTCTATATCAGAAACGTAAAAAAGAAAATAAAGTGAAAAAAATCTCTGTCACATTGTTTTTTAGAATGCTTTTTAAAAAGAAGATGATGGTTGTGTGGTCCAGAACACTCATTACGGGGGTCTGTAAGGCGTTTCCCTGTCACACAAAGGGGAACCGAGTTCGATTCCTATGCGGTTAGGATTTTTATCGAGTATCTCGGTGGGTCTTTTTTCTACTGGGAAATTGTATCCCTCTCAACTCGGGTTGACCTTGACAGACATGGTTGGAAATCCGTTCTCTAAATGATCTATATTGTGTTGAGGGGGGGGGATCTTCAAAATTCGTCCGATTTCTTTCTTCACAGAAGTCATAGCACAAGATTAGAGGAGGTTGTGTCCTCCCCCCCCCCTCTCCTTTGCCTGCGAATTTGAAAAGAAATAAACAAATAAAACGACCCACAACTCACAAACTCTTTACACAAACAGCCAAGTTTCAATGATGCCTCCATTAAAGTTTCAAACTAAGGTCGTCTGCACTGTCGTCCAGCATTGTACCAACTGAGGTAACGATAAACACACATCTGAGCTTTTAAAATCGAAACGTATGAAAAGTTATCTGAGTGCTGTAT